CCAGAGCATGTCACATGCACCCTGTGCCAACACAGAGACTATAAAGTGTCAGTAAAAGTTGTCCGCAAAAGGATTGGATCAAAAAACTTTCAGAATGCAAGTCACGCCCTCTATGCGCTTCGCCGTGTGTCGTTTAGTCAGAATTCAGTACAGCAATTACTTTCATGCCCTCAATATTACACCATCTGACAGTCCAACCTATCGCTTTTCTTTATTATATGAGATGGCATTTTCTTTGGACGCTACAAACTCTTACCATTTATGGGCGGTGTTTAATAAAAAGTTATATAAGAAAAAGTTGTATTAAAGTAGAACAATATAAAGTACTTAGTAAGCATAAGTCCTACTTTACTAGACTTGCAACAGAGTGACTTTGAATCGAAAGGGAAATCAATTTATGTTAATTTGTTCCTTCACCTCGTCGTCATAGAAGAAGACGAGCCAGCCATTGTTACTCTTCTGATGACACATAAAGATCACTTTCTTCACAATCACAGCAAGTGGATGTTAGGGGAAAAGAATGCCGATGTACAGCAAAAGCCACTTTCGCGTGAGTGGCAGAAGATATCAAAACCATTATCTACTCAAAGGTTGGGAAAAGACGCTCAAATCCTGAAATCCACCTGATAATGACCTAATAGGGACTACGACATGACATCGGCTATCAAATAGAACGAAATACAATGCTGTAAACTGCACGGGAAAGTATTCAAAACGTTACCTAACTTAACAAACTAACCTAACCTAACCCAACAAAATTTATATTTTTTGGCTTGTCTTTTGCGAGATACTGGATATTTATTAACTTTGACATTCAAATATTATGACAGCCCTGACTGGCCGAATGCATTTATTCATCTATAGCTTATTTAATGACGATGTTTCACCTTCAGTTTTTGAAGGCTACAGGAAACAGACGGACGTGCAGTGACGTTTAACCTGATGTTTTATTACTTCCAGTGACGGACGCCAGTGGACGCTATTCATCGCAGTTCCTTTTTGGAAATAATTTCTGGCTTGGATCTCACGCGCTCTGCGATGAACTACAGCTCCGAGACTCGAACCCAGAACCTCCTCAGTTTAGAGTGGCTTTTCATGTTGCCAAATTACAGGTGGCACTCTCCGCAAGTCTTTCGCCAGCGGTGAGTTCCATAACTAAGCATCTTCCATTGTGGACACTATCAGACGATATGGAACAAACAATAGATATATTAAGTATAAACCTTCTCAAACTGTTTGGCGTTACTATGAAGACAACCAAATTTTGGAGGTGATGAAGGCTGGAAAAGGAACGTATGAATCCACTCTTGAGACAGGCATCACTAAGACACACGACATCTGTCTTTTGTCCAGGTATAGACCTATGCAATGCTACATAAATAGAGCAGATGTGACGTGCCATCAGAAGAAAACTCATCTCCAAGAAAAACTGTTTCGTTAATTTTAATCCTTACGTTTTCAGACAGCCGGTAGGAATACAAAATATTATGAAACAAATGGGAAGCATGCATTCCGTGAACATTCACTACACCGAACTAGTTAGTAATTCTAAACCGACACTACTCTTAACCATCATTACAACGCTCCACACTCACAACATGTGTTCCATTACAGTTTTCCGATCCTCCTAACTGTTTGCTGTCTTAGGAATTATTTAATATAATGTCTTGCCTCTATTTTCTCTTGCTACGATTCTCATTTATTCGGCATCCCAATACTTCGGGCTGTACGTGTGTATTGCAGAGTCGTCAGGTGTTTTTGGGGCTGTGTCTACCTCAGTCTTGTGGTCCTGCCGACATCACGTCACTACTGCGGCCAAGCAGTGCCCTCCAGGTGCTGAGGGTGCGGCCTGTCCCTGGTGACTACAGCCTACTAGCGGACACCAAATTCCACATCCTGGGGTAAGAACAACTCCCTTCTATCTTCGGGTTTGTTAAGTCATCACCCTGGTGATGGAGGCAGCAAGGACCTCTGAATCGTCAGTAAACTTCTACCAGACTACACGGCGCAACAACCTAGAAGACAGCCATCACCACTGTTACATTCGTAGACGGATATGACGAAGCAAACAACGATTTTAGATTTTTTCCAGAGGCACTTAAAATAGATCACAAGCTTTGAAGATGTAAATGAATTGAGTCAGATCAATATCTGCTGTAATGCAGTTGGAATGAAGTTGCTTCCTGTAAACAGAAAGACGGTTTTCTTGGTGGGTTTTTGAGCGATCCAATTGGCCTGAGTGAAATTACTCTTTGTTTCAGGGGTGTATTAGCTGTAGTGTGTGTCCTGATAGCGGTCGGGTCCTGCTATGAGCTGCTGCTTTCTCGTAGCCAAGACAACAGACAGGCAGACGGCACGGTGCTGCCAAACTGCAAGGAGAAAGTATCTCTCGGTATGTCAGCTATTCTTGGCAGGTGAAAACTAACGCACAGCTGATTTGAAGTTTAGCGACCTCGGTCTATAAGTGCTAATACTGATACCTTTTTGATGAAAATTTGCTACTTAAATCAAGATAACAAATGTGAAACCAAAATAAAGAAATGAAAATCCAATATTGTCTCTTAAATTCCAAACGCATTTGTTCAATTTTTATGACAATCAGTATTAATAACCCACGCTAAACGTTGTTTTATAAATTAGGAAATGGCACACACAAACCTATCGATGTTGCCAACAGACAAATATGAAAATTTATCCACCTCTTTTTTGAACACCTAAATCATTTGCCTCGGACGAATTTCAGTACTGTCAACCGATACTAAAAATCTTCACAATTTTATTTTGAGATAAGTTAATCCATCACTGTTGCCAACACAGATAAGGAAATTATTTTATCCTTCTTTTCATTCCCCTAACATTTTAAACTTTAACGTGTTTAACTGTTTAAAATGTATTCATTTCCTCTTGATACCTATATCATTGATCAGGCTCTGGTCAAACTCAACATCATTAACCTCCAAATGAAAGTTGCGAAATATACCGCTTTTTCAAACATTAAATCAATGTTTCAGGCTTACTGTCGCAGTTACTGCTGTGTTTCTCTGCGGTGCGTAACGGCTACAAGATCCTCAACTGTAACACTCCAGAAGATTCGTTGACGTCAATCCATGGGCTACGATTCCTTAGCCTCGCCTGGGTCATTCTCGTACACACTTACCTTCAGGTGTTCGCCATCGCCGGTCAGTGCATCGAAATATCACGACGAGACTCGGGAGCAACAGTTTCATCAAAACTGAGAATTTTGCTTAAACATGATTACTCTAATCCCACTTTATAAGATTCGAAAAAACACGGGTTGAAGATAAAAAATCACATGTGTCTTATCCAGTCTATATAGAAACCGAATATTGAGTTCACTGTTTTGGTGAGATTTCAGGTTTTCTCGTCCTCAAGTACGAAAGTTCTGTCTTCCTATCATGTTGCGCCGTCTAGTCTGGTACGAGCTTACCGACGTTTCTGAGGTGCTTGCTGCTTCCAGCATCGCCCTGATAATGAAGGCAGAAAGTACCTCTTAAACGTATATAAACTGACCAGACTACACAGCGCAACACTCCAGAAGACAACTATCTACATTTTATTATTATTAAAATTTCCCAACTTTATGGGTTAAGGATAATATCCCGCATCAGAAGTTCGCATGATCACAATGTTGATAATATTAAGTGACTCATTCTAAACACTCACTTATGAACCTGCATTCTTGTTGCAGAGAACAAGACGCTGCGAACTGTAACAGAGAGAAACTTCATGTTCCAGACAATCAGCAACGCAACGTTCTCCGTGGACACGTTCTTCTTCATCAGGTGCGTGGGTTTATTCCCCAGTCGTGAATTACAGACCCGAAAACAAAACATTTGATAAACAACAAATGTACATACATAGAAAATACGAAAAGTCATTGTAACTATTCATTTTCTTAATCTTGTCCTACAGCACAATTTGAACAGTGGATTATACTTAAGAGGTGTTACAAATTAATCATTGTAAACTAATACTTTCAATAACGTTAATAATGCAAGAGCAAACAATTTGTAGGATTTGAGGATTTTACGGAGGTGAGTCTGAAGAAAACTTCTGGGTTGTTGCAGCAAGGACCTC